TCCTCGTCCTTCTCTTCAAACACCGCCGCTAGAGACTTAGCAGGGGATAATGCTGATGCCGATGCCGACATCTACAGGAACCACACTTTCAATCGCTCTCAAGCCAAGCTCGCGACTCTCCCCACTCTCCTCCAACCGAGGGTCGTCATCTACGACGGCGTATGCCATCTCTGCCACCGAGGTACAATAATCTTGGTGTGCCTGCTTTGTGTTTGGTACAATGCCCATATGAGAGATATTTTTATATTATTTGAATTAGATAGTTAAATTTGATTTGCTCGTGCGCATTTACATTTATTTGAGAGCAGGCCTGATGTAAGACGCTTATATAGTATCTGAATAAGATTGGAGATCTTAGGCAACAAGTTTTGTGTGCAAATAGCTACAAGTGTTGCATGTTAGACTGTTTTTCATATTTATTCAGTATTTTACTAAAGGTTAACTGTACATAAACCCCATACGGTGTCGGGCTTTGTACAATTTTATTTTTTTGGTGCGGGGAACCTCGGCTTAGTACCAGCCAAGTAAACCCCGAGGCCCGGGGCCTTCCTTTTGCAGTCCATGTCGTCAACATACAACAATAAGATAACAAGGTCTGAATTAAGTCTGTTGTATCCAAGGCTCATGATGAATGAATCAAATCTCTTGTACTTATACCTCGGCGCCTGCTTTAGACCGGTGTCTGCTTTAAACCGTACAGAGATTTGTTCAATCTACAAACTAAATTTTCTTTTTTTTTTCTTAGAAACCTTCTAGTTAGAGCATATAAATTTCTTCTTCAAGATTTCCATAAAGAAATGTTGTTTTCACATTTAGCTGCTTTAGGTATAAGGCAAATATAGCGCTCATAGGTAGGACTATTCAGATTGTTGTAAGTCAAACTACAGGAAAAAAATGTTTTATTAAAATCAATACCTTCTTTGTGAGCTTATCCTTTTTATTGCCAATCTAGCACGATATCGCTCCACTTGATCATCTCCATTTCACTTGATCTTGTAGACCCATTTATTTCTAATAGCTTTCCTTTCTTGTGGTAGTGACACAAGTACCCAAATCTTATTTTTATGGAGAGCTTTAATTTTTTCCTGCATTGCTGTCATCTACAAAAATGCATGTGTTGTTTATAGCTTCATGGAAAGTTGATGACTCTCCATCCTCTGTTAGAAGACAGTATGCAACATTACTCTCCGTAATATACTGCGAGTGCCAAGTCGGTGGTCTTCTCTCATGAGTTGATCTTCAACTTTTTGGAGCCTCAGACTCGACTGGTTCTTGTACATCATGTTCTGGTGTTACTTTAAAAAATTTTTGATCATTTTCTATCTGAACAACTATAGTTTCTGAGTTCTTTCTTGAACAACTTTCTTTCTCTTCACTTTGTAGTTGGTTTTCTATAAAGATAACATCTTTGCTGACGATAACCTTGTGGGTAGTGGGATCCCACAAGCGATACTCTTTTACTCCGTCAGCATACCCTAAGAATATGCATTTTTTGGATTTTAAATCTAGATTTATAATTTCTTAGACATTGTACATTACGTACACTGCACTTTTAAATATATGGAGGTTGGAATAATCAGCTGGCTTACCGGTCCACCTCTTCATCGACGTCTTTAACTGTATTGTGGTTAATGGAGATTGATTCACCACATTACAGACGGTGCATGCCATACATCAGAATGAATCAGTTTTAGAATAGTATTGCTTCTAGAACTTGATGTGTTGAACTTCAACCGATGCTGCTTACTTGTAACACAATGCTCGCAGAATAGAAGAGTTACCGAATTAAGTCCGGGAAGCAGTTTCTGATTGGAGAGTATCTTCAAGCCTCGTTCTGACATGTGGCTTAGTTTTCGGTGCCACGTCATGGTTTGTTCTTCTCCACTGCTAGTTAATGTCACACATAAATCAGCTTTCTACAGGATTTCTCCGTTGAGCATGTATAGATTTGCAGCTATCTTTTCTTATTTACACCCAAGCTCATCTAATTGTCCTAAAGACAATAAATTCTTCTTCAAGCCCTTCACATGTCGCACATCTTGAATGGTGTGTATTATACCATCAAACATTTTGATTTTGATAGTACCAATATCATAAATCTCCAAGACATGATCATTGCCCATGAATATAAATCCTCTTGAGATAGGTTCATATTTGCGGAACCATTCTCTCTGGGAGGTCATGTGCCATGATGCTGCTGGATCTAGAAGTCAGACATTAGCAAACATCTTTCTGCCTTCATCAACAGTGATTGCTCTACTGTATAAAATTTTATCATCATCTGATGTGCTTACAATGCATCCTTGAGATTTTGATGGTTCTGAAGACTTTATCACCACTCTTCTTATAATGCCAACACTCCGATTTTACGTGCCTCTTTTTATCATAATTATAGCATTTGATATTCTTTTTACTTCTTGTTTTGATTTATCATGAGCATGACTCCCACTAGAACCACGTTCCGTTGATTTTCTTCTCGTCACCGATAAGGTCTCCGCTTGTTGTGAACTTGCCTGCCTATCTTCCTTATTTTTACGTCGACTTTCTTACTTCAGAATATCGGTCGCAACATTATCGAAAGCTAGATTGTCTGTAAGAACATTGTTTGTGAGATTGATGATGAGCTGATCATACGAGTTAGGTGGACTCTGAAGTAAAAGCTCTGCATGTTCATTCACACCGATTGCGTGTCCAAGCGTTGTGAATTAGGAAAACAGTGTGTTTAGGGTGTTGATGTGATCGGTCATTAATGTAGATTTCGCCATCCTCAAAGTGTAAATTCTCCTTTTTAAGAAGATTTTGTTATGCATGTATTTTGGCTCATGAAGCTTTGTTAGAGTATCCCAGATCTGCTTTGTTGTCTTCTTCTCCTCTATGCTTGATAGCACATCATCTGCTAATGCCAGATAGAGATTAGCAGTATCATTTTCGTCCATCTCGTTTTATTTTTTATCATCTGTGATGTCATCTAGCCTTGCACCGATGATCGATAGACAATTATCTTTTCTCAAGATAGCCTTTATCTTCAACTTCTACAGTGAGAAATTACTCCCGTTGAATTTTTTAAGTTTAAACTTCACCGTCGTTGCTTCTACCATGAACAATAACTTCTTACTATTTCACGTAAACAGTAACTGTATTTATGAACAATAATCATCTCCGTAAATAATACTGTACTTATGTATAATATCGTATTTATGAACAGTACCGTACTCGTGAATAGTACCATCGCCTTCAAAGGGTAAATGATAATCTAATTTATTTTCTGATGTGAAGGATTTACTTTTGGTGATAGTCACAGAGCATAAAATAAGTAGATTCACGCATCCTAAATCAAGCTCTGATACCACTTATTAGGACAAACCTGGGGCCCAATAGAGCAAGATCTCAGTGAATAGTAGAGCAGAAGTAATAAAATGAACACATAGATTTACGTAAGAACCCCCCTAAATGAATTTTGGATAAAAACCACGGACAATGACAAAAATTCATTAGGAATTTTAGGAGTTTACAATCTCTCTTTACAAGGAGAAACTCTTTTTTTATTTTTCTCTTACTCTTTGTATGTAGGGAAAATTACAAAGAAGAGAATAAAGAAAATGTGATTTTTGATTCCTTTGATCTCGGTTACAACTTGATTACAAAAGAGAGGAAAACGAATTTGGTTTTTCCCCTTTGTTTAAAACTGGGTTCTTCTTTGGCAGCGATGGAGTGCTTCCTTGCGATTGATTGCGTCGAACTTGCTCTCCGTTGACGATCCGACCGTCTTTATCTCGTCGGGAAGCGATGAACTTTCGTGGAAAGTTTTATGAATAACTCTGAATGAGTTTAAGAACTCTGAACGAGTTTGAACTCTGTGAATAGAGTTGTTTGGAACCGAAAATTCGGTTAAAGATCAAGCTGTTTTTTTGCTGTTGTCGAAGAATCCTCTCAGATTTGATCTTCTGAGGTTGATTCAAAAACCCTATCTCGAGGATTTCGTTGCTGTCGTTGCCGAATCTCCAAACCAGAGTGATTTTGATGATAAAGAATCCAACCTCTGATCTGATTATCAAAAATCCGATCCTTTAACTCTGTCGAGTTTGTTTGAGAACTGAAAATCTCCAACCTGTATGGTTTAGATCTTTTGAATCCAACCTGTGTGTTTCAGATGCCAAAAATCCAACCCGTTGCTCTGTTGGGTTCGTTGAGCTTTTATAGGGGATAAGAGGTTGTAACTGACCCTATATCTGCTCCTACGTGGGTGAAAATCCCCTCATAACGTGGGATAAACGGTTTTGGAAACCGTTCGACTTATGTTTGAATAAGTCAAATGCCCATTCTGGCGTTTAGAACTCAACTTCGTGTTCTTTGAATTGAGACGCGAAGTTGGGTGTAGCTGAAACACCATTGAACGCGAGGGTCGCCTCACGTTTGGCTTGTGCATTATCGACGCGAGGCTCGCTGTTGGTTTGAAACCATTTGAACGCGAGGGTCGGCTCACGTTTGGCTTGTGCATTGTCGACGCGAGGGTCGCCTGTTGGTTGAACACCATTGAACGCGAGCGGTCGCTCAGCGTTTGGCTTGCGCAATTGTCGACGCGAGGGTCATCGTCATTTTCCAAATTGGTGACGCGGGGATGACATCCGCGTTTCAGAAGGAGCCATTTGACTTGTAACTTTTTCTGTAGAGCGTTACAAGGACCATTGTTCAATAATCCTAGCTTTAGCTGTTGTGGAGTGTGAAAGTCGTCAGATTGTAACTTTCACTGTAGATTGTGAAGACTGCTGAATAGAGTTTTTTCATCAATCGTCAGAAGTGTCGTTAAATTGTAACTCTTCTCGATCTATGTGAACAGCCCTCCATTCGTAACTTTCGTTCACCGACCCGAAAACTATTTGATTGTAGCTTTCGTTGTAGGAGCTAGACGGGAATCAACATCCATAGTGTCTTAAAGATGAATATTCGCCCATAGCTCTCTACCCAGCAACTATTCGACTGTATGTTTCGATCATCGACCCGAAAGCTATTTGATTGTATCTTTCGTTGTAGGAGCTAGACGGGAATCAACATCCATAGTGTCTTAAAGATGAATATTCGCCCATAGCTCTCTATCAAGCAACTCACCAACTGAGTCCAACTTTTTATTTCTGAAATCGTCCCACTGCTCATCAGCATCTCTAATAGTTGCTATAATATTAGCCATGCTGTTGTCACAGCCATCAAGATCAATCATCTCAGAAGTGAGGTCGCGTTTGTGGCAATTGTGGAGTTGCGGATGCAGTGATTGGGAAGTCGTCTGATTGTGACCTCCGTTGTCGGAGCTTGTTTGAATAAGCTATCTATTGTGATTTTTAGACAGCCTACACTCTTCTGTATATGGAGATTGGAATTATTGTTGGGATGGTTTTCTCCTGAAGAGTTTTGAGTCTATTTATAGCAACTGGAAAAATACTATTCATAATTTTATAATATTTTTTCTTTTACTGTGCCGACCTTTCGATGCATGTTTTCCACTTTTGGTGCCATTAATTTTTGCGGGGCCTGCCATTTTTTTAAATTGTCAAAAAATATGGCTGACAATCAATCTTGTCAAAAAAATACGTTATTTTTTTAATTGTCATTAATTTTTGCAGGCTCCAACAAAGGTCGTATCAAAGAATTAAAGGCACAGTTGACTAGGAAATTTGATATGAAAGATTTAGAATCTGTAAACAAGATTCTAGGGATGTAAATTTACCGAGATAGAATTAATAGGAAGATTTGGCAATCTTATTTGAAGAAAATCTTACGACGTTTTAACATGCAAGATTGTAAGTTAATTCTACCCTACTTTCTGTTAATTTCATTATCCTCCAGTATGAGTCCTAGCAGTGATGAAGAGAGGATGGAGACGCCTCGAGTATCGTATACATCAGCAGTGAGAAGTCTAATGTTCGCTATGATTTGTACAAGACCAAACATTGCACAAGCAGTGGGAGTGGTTAATCGATACACGACGAATACTGGTAAAGAGCATTGAAATGCTGCAAAGAGGATCCTAAGATACATTAAGAAAACCTCAAATATTACATTATGTTATGAGGGATCAGATTTTATTATTAATAGATATGTTAATTCCGATTATGTAGGTGATCGTGATAATAGCAAATCCGTCACAGGCTATATGTTTGCACTTGCTAGTGGAGCTGTAAGATGGGTTTTAAAATTGCAGTTAGTTGTGTCTACTTCAACAACAGAAGCAGAATATGTAGTAACTACACAAGCTAGTAAAAATGCGATATGGTTGAAGATGGTACTAAAGAAACTCGGACATGAACAAAAAAAGATTTCTCTATTTTGTGACAGTCAGAGTGCTTTACATTTGGCAAGAAATCCAGCCTTTCATTCAAAGACAATGCATATTCGAGTTCAGTACCACTTCGTTAGTGAGAAAGTGGAAGAATGAACATTGGATATGCGAAAAATTCACACCGTAGATAACCTAGTAGATTTTTTGACAAAAGTAGTTAATACTGATAAATTTATTTGGTGTCGATCTTCTTGTGGTCTGTCAGAGACTTAAGCAATATGAAAATGACAATATAAAAAGAATAGTGTGAAGATATGATTGATACTCAATCAAATCTTCAAGTGGAAGTGGAAGATTGTCAGCTGTATTTTTTTTACAATAAAAAAAAATGACAGACCCTGAAAAACTTAATGGCACCGAAAGTGGAAAGCAGGCACCATAAGGTTGGCACAGTAAAAAAATTATAAAATTATGAATAGTATTTTCTCAGCTGTTATAAATAGGCCCAAAAGTCTTCAGGAGAAAACCATCCAACAACAATTCTAATCTTCACATATAGAAGAGTGAGAGAAAAATAAAGAGAGAGTTTCTCCTTGTAAAGAGAGAGATTGTAAACTCCTAAATTTTGTCATAGTGATTTCTTCTGTCATTGCCCGTGATTTTTACCCTAAATTTATTTAGGGGTTTTTTCATGTAAATCTGTGTGTTTATTTTATTACTTCTGTTCTACTATTCGTCGGGACCTTGCTCTATTGGGCCTTGGGTTTGTCCCAACAGTTCAGACCCTGGTAAATAGCACAAGTATTGCAATGCCTAATAATTAGAAATTGGGGATTGTAATGCCATAGACACGGATTGACCCTTGGCCTTTTGAGCCAAGGTCCCAAGCTCCAACCATTAGGCCACTTGCGGGGAGGTGTTCGGGCTTTGTAACATATCACCGATGTTGTATGATTTTGGCAAATAGACCCTTCCCTCTTTTACCATGGGTGAAATTTTGATGTATATTACCTCTTGGTGAAATTAGTGAGTCTTGGTTAAAAAAAAAAGTAAACAATTTATCCTCAGGTTCCATCTGCCAAAATCAAACAACGTGGATGATAAGTTACAACTTGTGATACTACAGCGTGTCTATGTGCAATAAAGCTTTCAATTTATCTAGTTAGGTATTTCCTGTTATTTATTTCATATTTTATTTGCAAATACCTTCTTTTTCTTTGTTCTTTGACTTCCACCACAGTGTATGCAACAATGACAACACAAGGTCTTCCGTATACATTTTTGACTTGGCTTTGTAGGAAAAATTGCCCATACTAATGGAATTTTATGATTTTCCAGTTGAGACACTTGCACTCTTCATATTTATATTTCACTCTCAAGTCAAGTCATGTTGTTCAAAGTTCATACTTTGTTGTTCTTGCATTATGTAGTCTTCTTGACATATCTGACATCAATTCTGAAAATTCTATTAAAAGATAGAGTACTTTGTGTTATTTCTATCTGAAAGATATGTTTGTGCTAGCTTTATTCAACATCTTTGACGGCTTGCTGTACCAAAACATTTAAAAACTAGTGTATGAAACCTAGTGCGTGAACAAAATCTAGAGTCCGCATTTGTCAAAATCTTTGAAAAGTTCATCTTATTAACTTTCTTTGATTGTTCATAATGTATTTATCTGTTTATCATAAATCCATCTCACATTTGATAATTGACTTTGCATATTATGTACACATATTTATTATTTGCGGAAATTTTGGTTATCCCAGTCCTCTTCCCCACCATCTCTATCTTCCCCCTTCCCCCTTGTTTTTCATTGATTGATTTTCTCAAAATGCAAATAATATGTTCCTGTCATTCATTCATGTAGGCCTAGCAGTGTGAAAATTTCGGTTTAAACCCTTATGAGGTGGAATCTACAGGCAAATTGAGGCGTAGTAGTGGCACAAAACATAATACCAATCTTTCAACTCAATAAACTTAATCACTTGTTTTATCTATGTTTTTCCATATTGCTTTGAGTATAGATATATTTTTGAATCAGATAATGCAATCTTCTTTTGCTTCTTTTATCTTCTTTATTTCAGATACTGTTCATGGCCGTGTTTAAAGCTCTGATTTGTTGCTCTTTTAGAATCTGAGATATATATCAGAACTGTGAACTTAGGAAGATAATTCTGATCAAGTTATAGAACTTCAATCCTTGTACCATTTGTTTGGGGGTATAAATTGATATTTTTTTGGTGATTCTAGTTGTGATGCAGTCTTCTTTTGCTTCAGCTTCTTTAATCTTCTTTATTTCAAATATTGTTCATGGCCGTATTTAAAGCTCTGATTTCTGGCTGTTATGATATATATCAGAATTATGAACTTAGAAAGATAGGTCTGAGCTAATTTATAGAGCTTCAATCCTTGTATCATTTGTTTGGAGTTTGGGGCATTAATTGATTTTTGTTGTGATTTTAGTTGAAGATACAAGTCTGATAATCTATTTATAAATGAAATGTTCTTTCTTTTTCTGTCGACGAAAGATATATCTCTGACCTCTCAATCACTAATGATCAAGTAAGACATAAATTGTTGGATCTTATCATCTGTGAAAATCTTTAAGGTACATACAACATTCACAGGTTCACAGCCTTATATTCTCTCTTCAGAATGCCTCCAGATTTGCATTCTTAGTGCTTCTCTACTAATATATTTTTAACAATCCAGTTCCATTGATCCTCTTGGGAGTCACCTTTTTCAGACTGTGTTTCAGCTGCTTGCTTAAGATTCAACTATTGTTGGTCATAGGGTTGAATTCTATATCAAAAATATGTTTCTTGCAGGAGTGAAATGGTTAATCAAAGTTGACAAGCATGAAAAGATCAAGTTCTNTGAAGATGTGCTCAAACGTTTTCTGTTCATTGAAGGCCCCGATGCATACTATGCAGGATCCACAGGTTAGTGCACTACACCTTCCCTCTAGTCTGGAATTTGTGTTACCGGTTCATAGAAAGTCACATCTTCCATGAGAAAGCTACTTCTGGCTTCCCCTATGGGGGTGTTTATTGGACTTCTATATCTGTTCTGCACATAGCTGTCGGGGATGTAAGTTCTATAGCGAACCGCGTAATTGGTTCAATAGTCTGGATTGGTGAATTTTAGCAAACTGGAGCACGATGGAACGTGGCCTAATTTGCCAACTCCGTTGACCCGATTTAGAACTCAAACTAGTTAAATTTTGGAAAAAAAAAATTTTCAAGAAAAATAAAAAAACGTAAAACAAAAGAAATTAAGCAAATACAATATGCATACCTTAATATGCAACATGATTCTCAAGGTTCTTTTACCATTGCTGATATCAACTAACATATTTCTTGAATTTGACTCTTGCAAAACCTGAGGTTCCTATATATAAAAATGAACCTAAAGCGTACCATGTCCCCTACCGTAGTTCAAATTGAGAGTATGTACCAAAGATCTGTAGACAAACATCGAGGTAGTATCAATTAACACTGTGTTGTTTGAAAAGAAATATCATTGTGAACACATATTACAAATGTATTATGGAATGTTTAAGTGTTGGAGAACATTGTCAATGTATATATGTACCAACATTTTATTCTTGACGCTATGCTTATAGGTCATAAAAGAATCTCTCTTTCAACACTGATCCCTGAGAAGTATTTTTTTGCCTGGGATTTTTCACTAAGAAATTTGTTGTGAAACAATGGAAAACAAATTGGTTATCCAATTGTGTTTTGCCTGTAGTTGTGCGATTTTCAGGACCCCCCCTATCTGTGAACCGATTCCCTTTGGCACACTAATTGATTCCTCAAAATTGGCGTAACACTGACAGTTATCCAGGACACAAGGTCCTTTTAAGTGCACATGTGCAAGATGTAATACAATGTGTGAAATTGAGTAGAGGGAGACGCACAATAGAATATATGAGTCAATTATCTTACTGTAACTAAATACCTCAATTATTTTATTAGAACTAAATACCTATGTTAATATAACGTGAAATGAAATCATGATCCAAATGTGAACTATGTGAAAAGGGAAAAAAAAAAACCAATTCCATAAGGAAGAAGTACTCAAGTAATTTGTATGAAAAAAAATATTGAAATGCATAATTAGCTTTCTAGTTTCAAGTTTCTACTATACACTTTGGAAAACTGTAAGTGCATCCAAAAAAAATTTACAACCTACTAACGGAACTTGCATACCGAATCCAAATTTTCTACCTAACGAGTTGTGTGTGCCACAACCTGCTACATACGGCGTATTGTGTAATTATAGTTTCGTCCAAATGCTAAAATCACAAAATAGTTTCATTGTTCAAGTATACTATAGTATCCCTGTATCATCTTAAGTTTATATGTCTTTAATATTGAACAATAAATGATCTATTACTGATGGAGATCCATGTCTACAAGACCTATTCCAGAGGATCTCGGAGAAAGTATTGAAGACTTGATTTAGATTAGAATAGTCGTTTTTGTCCATTGTTGGAATTTAGTCTACTTATTTAGTTTAATTTAAAAAAAAAACCCTCAACTTTAGGGGATTTTGCAGATAACCCACTGGAACTTTTTTATCTTACAAAACCCCTGAACTGAACTTTTTTTTTATCTCACAAAACCCGCTAAACTTTTGGGGTGTCCCTCAAACCCCCTGAACTTTCAACCTTTTTTTTAAATCAGATACCCTACCAGTAACTGGCAAATAAATAAAATGTTTTTGAGAGAGAAAACTCTCAATTGTGGCGAGGGGGGTTAGGTTGCATGTAAAAATGACAAATGACTAAACATGGTTTTCTCTCTCACAGAAATTTCAGTTACTTGCCAATCATAGGTGGAGGGGTTACTGCAAGTCCACAAGTTTAGGGGCTATTATGGGACAAAGAAAGTTATGGGGGTTATGAGGAAAACCCCCCAAGGTTAAGGATGCTTCGTGAAACAAAATCTTCTTTAGTTGAGTGACTTGAATCATCTTGCATGAATTTTGTTTGGCTAGTTCACTCTTAGATCTTGTGTTCTTGACACATAATACATAAAGATTGAGAACACGTGCTTCACTACATATAACACTATAAATACTTTGTGTTTTCAGTTTTTGAGATGAATTAGAGATAATTGGTTTTGATGAAAGCTGATGGATGCATGTGATTTGCTTCTGATGCGAGACCCCTAGCGGCCTAGCCCTATCCCTGCTGCCTAGTTGCCTGTTGCCCTTCTCTCTCTTCCCCTCTGGCTCCAGCCTTCCCTCAAGCTGACTGCACAAACCATCCACAAACAGCTAAACCCTTTCAGATTTGCCGTCCCCAGTTCGAACAGAACCTTAATGTTTTTTATGAACTTCCTTTCCAAGTTTAGACTGACTGCAGTTTGCAGGGATAAATGTTTAGACTGACTGCAGTTTGCAGGGATAAATGCAAACTTAGTCAAATCTCTACCTGTAGGACAAATTTTCAAAACCAACCCTTTTCATGATTTAATTGCCAAAAACGACCAGTTTCTGTTTTATTTAGAGAAACCGACCTGGTTTCAGCACTGTCGCTGAAACCAGGTCGGTTTTTGAAAAAAACTTTACGAAACTTCACGGGAGTTGAACTCCCGTGAAGTTTTTTCTCATAACAAAACTTTACGGGAGTTGAACTCCCGTGAAGTTTGGGAATTTTTTTTTCAAAAACCGACCCAGTTTCAACCAACTGGGTCGGTTTTTATAAATAAAATAGAAACGGGTCGTTTTTTGCAATTAAATCATGAAATGGGTCGGTTTTGAAAATTTGTCCCTCTACCTGTATTTGTGGACTGTTTTTATCATTCCTTAAAGCTAGCATGACCATAAGAAAAACACCCTGTTCTGTTGAGCCTGTGGAGGCACTCTCACCGGCTCCTCTTAGTGAATGTTTTGCTGACCATGGTCCACGTTCTGTTCATTGATGATGACTGGTCTACAATATGATCCCTACTCATCCATTTGTATGATAATTGTCTCTAATGATTGTTTGTTAGCAAATCATTAATTTTCTGGAATACCCGAGGTTGTGCGTGGGTGGTGCCCCTTAGCCATCTCTGGGGTTTGTAACCTAAACTTATTTCGTTCTTTCTGTATGTACTAGCTATTTTTAGCTTCCGGGGTTTATTGGGAAGCAGTTATTTTGTTAATCTCACATTAGTTCATACATTATCCTTTCATGTTTCTTTCCTTTATAGTATGAATCGGTTGAAATATAGAGGTATAGTAAAATGTGTATAATAAGCATAGTAAGTGCTTAATTGGTTTGAAATGATACAATGCATTGCTACACTTGCACAAATAAAGCATTATCCTTCATTTCACTTATACTACCAGGCTTCTGTGTACAGACACATCTGCAAACACAAGCACGCACTCACAGATGCAAAGGGCAAACATATATGAAACCATATCAATGAACCTATTAGTTTTTCATTGAAAAGTGACTGAACCATTTTAGTTAATTATTACATTTTCATTTCATTGTTCAGAAACTAATGCTTCCAGTACTTTGATATGTAGCTGCACTTAAAATTGCTTCCTACTTGCCATTTCCTTACTCAACTCTAAGTGCGCTGCTGGTGGTCCCTGCCCCGTTGAGGGATGCAGTCTACGACTATGTTGCGAAGCGACGATACAACTGGTTTGGAAAGGAGGATGAATGCATCATCATGAAACAAGACCAAGAACTACTTCAACGTTTTATCGACAGGGATGAAATGTTTGGTGGTGGTGATGGAGATAGCCGTTTCTTTTGAATTCTCAATTACTTTACAACCTCACGAGTTAGTCTTGCTATATATTTTTTTGCAAAGATTAAGGGGATTTGATTAATTGAGCCTGACCTGGTAACTGATTTTACCTTAGAATAAAATATTTAGATATCGCTCGCTTGATTTTGCCATCTTTTATCAGAGTGATGTAAAAAATAACTCAAGCAGTTTATGTTCAACCATGAGGAACTTTTAGGTAGCAATATGCAAAATGGCCATTATAGGTACCAGGTTCTATGAAATGTAAATACTCACTGTTTCCTGTATATAAAAGCTGTATTCTCTCAGTATACGTAGATGTATTAAGCCATTGATTCCTTAAAGTTTGATTCCCCCAAGTTTCTGGTTATCATTTCTAGTTTACATATGTGATGAGCGTGGAGTTCAACTTAAGTTCTACTCCCTTGCACGAGGCGATAAGTTGAGAATATAAAGTTATATTGGAACTGTTTTATAAAACTTGGCATAATTAACAAATAATTTACTTATAGAATTTGTGTGTAGATAACATTGTATTGCTCGATAAAACTGGGAGATGGTTTTTAAAGTGAAGAGGAGAACTCAAATTTGAATGATTTATGCGTAGGCGAACAAAACGGAATGCATTATCTTAGTGATACTGTGAAAATAAATGAGTATATATTACAGGCAGAAAATGACTAATATCTAAGATCATCTATTGGTCAAGATGATGATATATTCCATCAAATCAATTAATCATGGTTTAAATGGAGGCGTGTTTACTCAGTCCCGTGCAATCACGAATAAAATAGAAAAGAAAGTTTGTAAAATTAAGAAAACTAGCACTGTTTTACCGGATCAGGCGATCAGCACATTAAGCGATCAAAAAACAATTTGTGCGAAAGTGAAGAATATTGAGCATTTTAAGCAAGGCCTATGTCGTTTGCTCGGCATGGATTTCCACGGGAGAGCAGACAGGGTTCGCCTAGCCACTCGCTCTAATTCCCTCAATTTGGTGCGTCACTGCTCGTTGCGACAGAGAGATGGCCAGGTCTGGGTCCAGCCAATGCTTGACTAACAAACACACTGTCGTGTGCGCAAACATCCATTTAGCGTCTTTTCAAGGGCTGTTTGGTTCGTATCCTAGAAATCAAAGGAAGATAAATTGAGGATGGAAACAATTAAAAAGCGATTCCATCTAATTCCGTACAAAAATCCACAAAATGTATTTCCTTAAATATAAGCCGCGCCAACCCTTGAAAACATGCAACATAATCTTTCCGCTTTTGTTTCAACGTGTGAACCAGACAAAGAAAACAAAACCATTATAGACGATACATTTTTGATAATTAATTTCCTTAAAATTTTTTAGGCCAACCAAACAGCCCCCGTGGGTAACGCGGTCCTTCCACGCCCCTATCCCGCTCCAAAATGGCATGAATTCATAGAAAGCTATGAAAAGGATGTAGATTTGGCGAAGGGTTGGAAGAAGAATAGGTTTTGGAGCTCAGGGTTCAGTTTTGGAGTTTGTCGGTCGACCGCGATGCAAGGCCGGTAGACCGAATACGTGCGCAGACTCTGGGTATGAGTCTGGACTTGGCGCGGTCGATCTCTGCGGTTGACCGCCAGACCCTGTAATGATTTTTGGGTTATGTCGTTTGATCGCAGTCGACTGCGAGTCTTGGGGCGGTCGACCGTCAGTCGGGTCAGGTCCATATGTGAGTTTCCTGTTCTGATTTGGATTGGTGTTTGCTATAAATACAAACACACGTTTTAGGGTTTCTTTGACTTTGATTGGTGATAGAATTAGGGATATTTGGAGCACAGAAAAGATGTATTTTCTGAGCTATTGGTTAGAGTTTTGTTTGAGAGAATTAGAGCTTTTTTGGTAAGATTAATCTATGAGTTTGCGTGATTTGTAGTCTCAGTTTGTACTCTTCTTCTCTATTAGTAAAAATCACATCCCATTCTTGCCCTGTGGAAGTAGGTAACTTGCCGAACCACTTAAAATTGGTTGTTTATGTTTGTTTCTTCGAACAACAACAATTGGTTTCCGCGCACAACAAACAAGCCTTCGTGTATTCACCTAACAAATAGGACCAAACCAAATAAACCCATCAACTT